CGCGTTCGCGCACACCTAATCTAATCTAGACCATTAAAAAATATTAGATGGATGCACATGATGTGTTCTCACGTTCTCACCTAAGCACATGTTCTCATATGATCATATATATATATATATATATATATATATATATATATATATATATATATATATATATATATGTATGTATCTTATGATACCCAACCCAATAACTATTTCAAATCCAAATTATCCTAAGTCCCCATATATGTATTCTTCTATGTATCTATTTATAACCCAAGATGTCAAGCCCTTGTGTTTAATCCAATTCCATTCTAAGTCCAAGCTAGCCCATTCTCTATGTATATATATTTGACCCAATCCTAACCCGATAATCCAGCCCAACCTACTTAGCCCAACCACCTATAAATAGTCTAGCCCAAATCAAATATTGTAACCCTATCTACTTAATGTATAATACGTATTATATCTATCTACAATTTTAATAAGAGCTAATAATGTTAGATCCTTAACTGGAACAAAAAAAAATGTCGGTAGTATTGTTTCTTACAATGAATGGTTCATATTATTTTGATTTTAGTTTTTTAAAATAATTTTCCTTATTTACCCTCTATTATATTATTTTATTCCCTTAAATAACATAAATTCCGTTAGTAATAACTTTAATAACGCGTTAACTATTTATTATTTTTAACTTACTTATTAATTTCTATAAGAAAGATCTTAGGTTCAACCCCCATCCCAATTAGAGTTGGCATAATTGTTAAACATATACTACGAATATGTTAAAATATATTTAACATAAACTTTGCTCAAATAATTAGTCTGGATAAATACATAATATTTAAAGTTAAGCATCAAAGATTATAAATCAAGAACTTTAAAAATCATTTGATTTTTATGCATTTAAAAAAAAACAAATTTACCAAGACTATGTGGTCTAATGGTACCCGGGTTGGACTTCCATTTGGAAGGTTGTGAGTTTGAGCCTCAGTGGAGGCGTTATTGGTTCTTTGTGTTTCAGTAGGTTGAGAACATATATGAACAGATACTACATTGTAATAGAGCCAGTAGCATTAAAAAAAAAAAAACAAATTTAGGTTAAGTTTTTTTTTTCCCGTTTAATTAATCTTCTTTTGAACAGATACTACATTAATCTTCTTTTTCAATGCCTTTAATTCTTCAAGATCTCCGAAGCCTACAAAAAATGCCTTCAATGCCTTTAATTCTTCAAGATCTTCAAATGCCTTCAAAAGAGCTCTCAAATCTTCAAGCCTTCAAGTTGTCAGGCGTTCTTCAATACCTTCAAGCTCTCAAGTCTTCAAGTTGTTTTCAATATATTTGAAGTGTCATTTAAAGAATGAAATTGAGGCTCTATTTATAGTGAAGTGTGTAACTAAAATCCCTCAACAAACTCTACTAATTTTTATTAAATTAAATTAATTAATTATCTACTAAAATGAACCTTGCCAAAATCAAGTATAGGTTCATTATTCTATCATCTAATTCAAATTCAAATTAAATTATAATTATCTAATTCAAATATAATAAAATCATATTATATTTAAATTTTAATTACAATTATAATTCAATTATAAAATGGGCTTGGACCAATTAATTAATTAATTCAATAGCTCAAATCAAATTTACTTGGACTATTTAAATTAATTTAATTATCATAGCCCAAGTAATTAAATTGGACTAATAATCAATCCCGAAATTGAGCTCGATAATGATTTAATCGGTCCACTTTTCGGCTTCAAATTTTCTGTGTCTAACTAGTGATGATGTAATGATGACTAACTAGTGAATATTAGTTATAAATATAATATTGAGGTTTGGGTATGGTTAATGATGCTTATATGATGATTGTAAATGGAATGAGTTAGTGCGGTGTAGTGGTTAGGGTTAGGTATAGAGAAGGCTTGGGTTTGATTTTAGTTGGTAACATTATTTTGGTTTTCAATATATATAACAAATGAGGTTATAATGATTTAATGATGGGGATATTGTGAATATTAATAGGAATTGTTGTTATGGTGGTGACTAGTAATTAATAACGGAGAATAGTGTAGGAATTGTTGTTATGGTGGTGACTAGTCAGTAGTCATTAATAACGGAGAATAGTGTATTAAAGTTTATTAGTTGCTAATAAGGATGATATTGTTGTCTAATAATTATGGAGATTGCGAAGTGGACTAAATACTAATAATGAAGGGAATGTTTAGTATCAATGATGTTGGTGACTAATGAGGATTTATTAGTGAAGATGATAAGATACTGACTATTAAAATGATTGAGTAATAATGGAGTGGTGCTTAAGTTGAGAATAAAGCAAAGTAGTGAATGGATTATGTGTTTAATAAGGATAAGGAGGGCAGTATTAGATTAATGATAATAAGATATAGTTTAATACTATTATTGATAACAATAATAGTATGGGTAACGAAAGAGGGCCGGTTGATCTACAGGTTCCTCGTTGAAGTGGCTAGCTTGGGAGTGAGCTCAAGATCGAATGATTAGCTTTGGAGCTCGGTTTAACGTATAAATCATGTGGACTCTCAAAACCTAGTCTTTTGGTCTTGTTATGATATTGAAGATATTGTTGTGTTTACGATGTGTTGATGCTTAGAAATAGGGAAGAATGTGTGTTTATGTGTTTATTATGTATTGTTGTTGATATCTTGATGTTATATGATAATTTGTGAAGTTTTGAAGGTGTATTGTGAGCTAGAAGCAGGTTTTGCTCCATATATTAGGCCATTCTCTCCGAGGCTACTGCCTCTTCACCGAGATTAGCCTAGTGGAGCCTACCAACGGACCCAAGAGGGATCCGTTGGCAAGCTCCGCCTCTTGGCGGAACTGAGTGGCGGACTATCTAGTGACCTGCCATTCAGCGCTGTGACATGGCGAAGCCCCTCAAGCTCCGTCACTTAGTTCCGCCAGGTCACTAAGAGGGTCGGGCCCTTGAGGCTCAGCCCGTTTTGATCGTTCCGGATCGAGAATCGTGGGCCCGTGAGGCTCGAAGACTCGGGACCGTGACGGCATGCTCACATGAGATGTGCCTATTTGATTTGTGAGTAAATCCCATTTTCAACCAAAGCACGAGATATGATGTTTTTAATAAGTGTTTGAGTACATTGGTTTGTGAATTCTGAGTATGTTGACATTAGCATTGAACCATGTCGTGGTGTTGGGTTTGTTTAGGTGCCGGGCCCTTGAGGCACAGCCCAATGTCAGGTTCGTTCCGGTCCGTTACTCGTGGGTCCGTGAGGCTCGGAGACTTGGGACCGTGACGACATGTTTGCATGAAATGTGCCTAGTTGATTTATGAGTAAAATTCACTTTTCTAAATCAAGCATGATTTATGATTTCTTTCTAAGTGTTTCTTGAGTACGTTTGATTACGAAATGTGAGAGATATTATTTTGGCTTTAAGTCATGAGATGATGAAGGGTTTGATTAAATTCTCTATTTGCATTGGCTAATTCTTTGAATAATAAGATATGATTTTTTTAATAAGTGTTTGAGTACATTGGTGCACACGGTTGCACAGCACAACGACTCCAATATGAGGTAACCTAGGATTCTTATATGGCACTAGGCCCAAAATATGTATAAATTGGACCACCCATACATGGGGAGGGGACAATCAATTCTAAGCAATACAATACCTATATTCTCTCCATATTTTTTAATTTTTTTGGAGATGAAAAATTAATTCATTAATTAAATCATGAGCAAGAATGTTTACAAGAAAAAATGGTGGAGAATCTAGCCATTCTCCGCAACCTGACACAGAAAAGGCCACCCTAGCAACATTATGGGCGGCACTATTCGCAGATCCTTAACACAGTGGAATTCAACATCAACAATCTCAGATGCCAAATTTTTAATGTCATCAACTAAAATACCAAAAGCAGAATTAAAAGATGGCGAGCGAACAACATTGAAAACAGTTTGACAGTCCGTTTCCACATCAACACCACCCATACCAGTATTCTTCAGCCAGCTTAAAGCCTCCCGTATGCTAAGTGTCTCAGCTTCCTTTGCCATAAAAACCCCTGGCATTTTCATGTTCTTGGCAGCAAGAAAATTTCCATTATCATCTCTCAGGACCCAGCCAAAACCCATTTTAATTTCCTATATTCTCGTTATTCTAACGGTCGTGTTGGCTAGTCATTGACTATCCATAAGTCATAAAATCAACAACAATAATAATATTATTATTATATATCTGGTATAAGGGTATTTATGTCTTTTAAACATATATTCCATTTCTATTCCTTAAACGAAACAAACACTGGAATAACATTCTTAAAGTCTATTCCTTCAGTGAACCAAACAATGGAATACAAATCTTATTCTATTCCACGTATTTTCCATTCTCTACGGAATAACATTCCTATTCAACTCCCTTAAAATTCATTCCGTGAATCAAACATGCTGTAAAAGTATTTATATCATCTGTCATTTATCATCCACTACAATGAGTTGCTAATTGTCTTTTTCTATAGGAACTTGATGAAATTATCGTTAAAATCTTGTATCAGTAGTGTTTTAGTTTGCCAATTGAATTGAGCTTTATCCCCTAGCTTTTATCATTTTAAATTGGCTGTGTTATTGGGTGGCCAACTATGATGCAATTAATTAAATTTTTTGAAGGAATTTTTAGAGTAAAATACCATGCCTAATAATTCCATACTCTTGGGGTAAATGAATAAATAGTTTGGTTGTTTTATTGAACTATTTATTTGGTTCATAAACTGGGTATTTTGTAGTTCTTTTAGGACTTAATGAGTTTTAATTGTTTGAATAAGTGTCTTAAGCATATGATCAATTAAAGTGTGTGACTAACTTTCCACGCTATACGGACTTGTCATATTAAAGAAAAGAATAAACCCTTAATTTGATTGGTAAGGTTGAACATAGGTTCAAGATTAGTAATGGTAATTGATTCATGTTCCTCGTCTTTATTCTTTTGTTAGATGCTATTTTTTTTTTTGAAAGCCAACAACCTTAAATTGCATTAGCCATTCCAGGCTCAAGAAAAGCGGGAGGAATATCCCTCCAAAGAGAGCGTGACAAAGAGGCAGATACATGCTTAGCCATAACATGGGCAGCCTGTATAGCATCCCTGCGTACATGAATTACTGCTGATCTAGACATTTGATCTAATAAACGATTACAAGCTTGCAAAACAAAACCAAAATAAGTTCGGAACGAACTAGCATGCTTTAGACTGGAAACCAAGACGAGACTGTCAGTGTAAACTGAAACCCTTGAGTAGCCATTATTCCTCAGCCAAGATAGTGCCTCACACAAAGCCATTGCTTCCGCCAAGAGGGGGTCATAAGGGCAAGTAAGAGGTCCATTCCCTGCCGCCACAAAGATTCCATCCTTCTCCTGTACTACGAATCCATAAGCCGGCACATGATTCGGACCATGGAAGCCCGCATCCACACGACATAACACGCCATCATCCACTACAGGAGCCGGATCCGGGGCCACACACAGCACACGTGTGGTGATGCGTTGCTGTTCAGCTGTTGTCCAAGAAGCCCACTTTGCCGTGAACCTCCTGACCACCACCATAGGCAACGGCAGACAGCCATCCCAAACCGCCTCATTCCTGGCTGACCAAACATCATATAACAAACCACATATCCTCTCTTGTGCCTCTGAGCTATAAGTGGCCATATTGCCAAGCCATTGTTCTGTCCACTGCCTAAAACTCCTGCCATCAAAGGAAGGGATAAGAAGATGAGATAAATTCCACACTTGTGTAGCATAAGGACAAGAACATAAAACATGCATAATATTTTCCTCCTCCAAGCCACAAGCTGGGCAGATATTAACCAAATCCACCCTCCTATTTATCAAGTTATCGAGAGTAGGCAAGATGTCAGACAGAGCTCTCCATAAGAAAATTCTCCATCTAGGGGGGACCTGTAAACTCTATAAATAACGCCACACAGGCAAACACGGGCCATATATCTCACCCAACCTTCTGTAACCATCCCTTACCGAGTAGCAACCCCTTAGATCCCTGTCCCAAAACCAAACATCATCACATTCCACATTAACAGGGAGCTGCTTAATCAACAAAATATCACGTGGGGCAAACAACTCATGTAACAAATCATCATTCCACCCATTGGTGGCACTATCAATTAAGTCTGAAACCAGAAGCTCCTGGCCCAGGTTTGGGTGAGTCGAGACTACATAGGGATCAATAGCATCAGGCAGCCAAGGATGATTCAAAACCCCAGTGGCCCTTCCGTTGCCTATCCTCCGCCTGCAACCAGATCTGAGCAACGCCTGACCTGCGTAAATACTTCTCCAAGCATAACTCGGGTTACCACCAATCGTGGCTTCATAAAACGAGGAAGTAGGATAATACCTGGCTTTGAATACACGAGCTACAAGGGACTCCGGATTTGTTAATAGTCGCCACCCCTGCTTGGCCAACAGAGCAACATTAAACTCATGCAAACGCTTAAAACCCATGCCCCCAAACCTCTTAGGCACACACATACGATCCCAGGACATCCAGTGAATACTGCCCTGTGAGCCTCTTTGGCCCCACCAATACCTGTTCATTAACTTCTCCAAAGCATTACACAAAGATAAAGGGAGCAAATAAATGCTCATAGTGTAGGTAGGCATTGCCTGGGCTACACTCTTCAAAAGCACCTCCTTCCCTGCTTTGGATAACAGTCTCTTGTTCCACGAGCCAAACCTTTGTCTCAATTTCTGCTCTACATATGCGAAAACTGCACTTCTATCGCGACCTACCACAGAAGGCAATCCCAGATATTTGCCAAAATCATCAGCTTGGCCCCACCCCCAATGTATTCGCAACCAGATCCCTCATCACCACCTGTGTGTTACGACTAAACGTTATGCTTGACTTCTGAAAATTAACCGCCTGCCCAGAAAAGGCCTCATACACTCCCAGGCACTTCTTCACCTCCAGTGCTTCCTGCAGATTAGCTTTAAAGAACAGCAGACTATCATCTGCAAAAAATAAATGCGAAATAGGAGGTGCCCCCCTAGCCACTCTACAACCATGCAAAAGCCCTTTTGTCTGAGAGTCCTGCAACAACAACGATAAGCCCTCAGCACATATTATAAACAAATAAGGAGACAATGGATCTCCCTGTTTGAGCCCCCTCGTGGGCACTATTTCCTCAGATGGCTTCCCATTTACTAGCACCCTGTATCGCACGGAATGCACACATAACATTACAAGCTGAACCCATCTTTCATCAAACCCCAGGCCAATCAACATCTGCTGCACAAAAGGCCACTCCATCCTGTCATAAGCCTTCGCCATATCTAGCTTTAAGGCCGCCCACCCAACCTGCCCCAACTGTTTCCTCCTCAAATAATGACCAACCTCAGACGCAATTAATATATTGTCTGTGATCAGCCTACCAGGTAAGAACGCACTTTGCGAAACAGAAATCATACCCTCAAGTAACGGTTTCATACGATTAGCAATCATTTTTGCCATTATCTTATATAGAACGTTACACAAAGCTATTGGCCTTAAATCAGATACAGACACGGGGGTGCATTTCTTGGGGATCAAAACAATATTGGCATCATTCAAATTAACAGGGAAAGACCTCTCAGACAAACAATTAAGAACAAAATCAGAGATGTCCTTACCAATAATATCCCAGAAGGCCTGGTAGAAGCCCGGATTCATGCCATCCGGACCTAGAGATTTGTCCTTGCCCATAGAGAATAAAGCACTCCGTACCTCCTCCGGCTCAAAGGGGCGCAGTAACTCATCATTCTGCTCATTAGTTACACGAGACTGCATGGTATCCACATTAAAACTCCCAGGACTCCCACCTGAAGTAAAAATTTGCTTATAATAATCCACAACTACTGAGTCCAAGGCACTGCCCTCTCGCCAAACTCCACCATCATCCTTCAGTCTCTGGATCACATTTTTCCTCTTCCGATAAGTAGCATACTTGTGGAAAAATTTTGTGTTTCTGTCAGCTCCCTGGAGCCAGTGTTGTTTTGCACGTTGCTTCCAGAAAGCCTCCTCCTGGGCTAGCACCACACTCAACTGCTCATCAAGCTGCCTAAACCGTGCCAAAGATCCAGGATCACGACTACCCCGTAAACCATTCATTTCCTTCCTTATCCCATATTTATGATGGCGATCACCACCCCACCTCCTCAAACCCCGACCACACACACCAAGCCTGGTCTGTAACGCCAATCCCGGAGTGCCAGCCCATTCCCTTTCCACCACCTCCCTGCAACCTCCATCCAGTAGCCATGCATTCTCAAACCGGAAACACCGGGGCCTCAACACCTGCTCCACCCCATCTATATCCAAGAATAGCGCAGTATGATCCGACGAGTCAATTCGAATATTGAACACTCTCGCCCTATCATTATCCTGTAGCTAGTCCATATTCGCCACCACTCTATCCAACCGCTCCTCAACCCAGCGAGCAGTCCCCTTCCCACGTTCCCACGTGTAAGGGTATCCAATCATAGGCAGTGTCATCAATCCACAGTCATCCAGAGCTTCTACAAACCCCTCTACCAAACGTACCGGATGTGGCAACCTCCCCCTCTTATCAGAGTGCATCAACAAATCGTTGAAATCCCCCAAGACCACCCAAGGTAGCTCAGAAACGCCCCTGAGAGATCGTAGGAAATCCCATGCAGCCCTCTTCCTATCCCTTTGAGGATACCCATAATAGCAGGTCAACCTCCATAATGGCTTATCAGGCAAAGAAATCTCAAGGTCAATATGATTCATCGAATACTTAATCAAACGTGCACCATTGTTCCTGGCCCATAGAAAACACAAACCACCCCTCTGACCATCACTATCCAGAGCAAAACAACCCTCAAAACCCAGTCTCACACGTAGCCTCTCTGCATGACTTCTATCCACCATAGTTTCCATCAAAAACACAAACTCGGGCTTCTTCTTGGACACTAAGTCCACCACCTCCTGAACTGTCCGTGGATTGCCCAAGCCACGGCAGTTCCAAAATAAGGTACTCATTGAGACCGGTGGGCCTGGTCCCCAGGTCCCACCAAACAGTGCTGCTCTTCTTCCACTTGCATTTCCCTCACCTCACTCACCACTTCTCCACCGGATCCCCTCCTCCGTTTCGGTTCCACCCTCAATCCCCTCTCCTCCCCCTCAACCGTAGCAGTTTGCATGCTCGCCGGTAACACCCCCAAACCCGAAACCCCAACCCCAGTATGCCCCGCCACCACACTGCCATCCCTCCCCAAACCCGTAACCCCAACCCCAAACTGCCCCAACGCCACACTGCCATCAACCCCCATTCCCGTAACCCCAATCCCAACCTGCCCCGCCACCATTCTGCCATCCACCATCCCCTCACCTCCCTCAACCCGCAAACCCCCTGGCAGTCCCCTCACACCCGAAGCAGCCCCGTAACCAATCTCCTTCCTTCTCTCCTGGCCTAGCCGAAACCACTTATCACCCAAAACCTTAGCCGTCCCCAAGCCCCCCGCCTTCATACCTGGGCCGTAAATATATTGTTCTGGCAACACTGAGGACCTCCGAGGGTCCAGGCAAAACTTATCTATATGCCCCAACTTGCCACAAAAAAAGCAGAAAACATTTAGGCGTTCATACCTGAAATCAATCCACACCGACGATCCATCACGCATGATCATCTTCATGCGACGCTTCAGAGGAGTCGCAACATCAAGCCTCACCCGTACTCTGTAAAACTCAGTCCATGGTCTAGTGAAGTTCCGTTCATCAATTCGCAGGAACACCCCAACATAGTCCCCCACCTTCTCCAGGACCTTCTCCGTCCGGTAACCCGAAGGAAGCCCAAACACTTGTACCCAGAAGTCAGCAACTCCACCACCACTGGATCATCAACCTCTTCAAGCGGCTGACAGAGAAAAAGCGCGTTTTCAAACGCCCAGGGCCCCTCCTCCAAAACCCGCCGTCGATCAGCTACGCCAAAGAAAGTAAACATGTATGTACCTGGCCGTATATCCGTGACCTCTATCCCCATTAATGGACGCCAAGCCGACACCATCACCCTCTTCATAATTTCGACTTTGAGCAAACGATCAGTCAGAAACTGACCGACAAGCGCCCATGTACGTCGCTCTTCGCCATGCACCACCTCGCCCCCCGGCTCCTCCTCAAACAGAACACCCGTCTCCTCATCTTCGAGCGTAATCTGAGCCATGCCATCAACCAACCCTTGCACATCCATCGGAACAGCGAACCAGAGATGCGATCGCCGGCGAAGTCGTAAACGGACGCAATACCGTAACCCTAGAAAACAGGGATGAAACGCAAAACCCTAATACGTAGGGATAGAGAAAAAATCTGTCAGTTACTTTAGTAGTTATTTAATGGAAATCTGTTAGATGCTATTTTGTTTCATGGTTATTTAATTGTTTTTCATGCCTTTGTTTTTTACATGCAGTTTTATTTGGTTAAATTCATTCCGATTTAGACTTAGTTTTGAACATTTTAAATTGTTATGTTAATTATTTTTAAGTTTATAAATTGCGTTGTATGCTAAGGACCTTGTGGTCTAGTGACATCAAGTTAACCTCTCATATATGTGAGGTTGTAGGTTCGAGTGTTATTGGAGGCGAGATTGACTTTTTGTGCTTCAATAGTTTGAGAAACTAGATAGTGACATATATACACAATTAAACCAATTAAGCACATGTAATGTTCCTTTAAAAAAAATTTACCGTCCACTTTGCTTATGTGGCAATGGCATCATTATAGTCACATTAGCATGATATGATGTGTAATACGAACTCAAATGTTATTTTATAAATATTTAAAACTAAAAAAAATAAAATAATTATTAACATATTAATATCAAACTTTACAAATTAAATGCAAATTATTGACCTCTAATTAAAATAATACCATCTCACTCCATTTTATTATTTAGCCATTTTGTTATCTTTTTTGCAAAACTTAATTAAAGACAATATTAGGAAGGACATTGTATATAATTTTATTTATATATTTTTTTAAAAATCCATACAAATTAAAACAAACTTAAATTTAATTTCTTTTAAAAAATTATATTGATAATTTTTTTTTTTTATAATAATGACTACAATTATCAATCTTCAAATTTCAATTTATTCATACTTGTAATTTTTAAAAATTAAAATCTTTAAATTTTGTTTTAAACTATATGTGTTTTTAAAAAATTAACATATTATTGCACATTTAGATACAATAGCTAAATTTCACAAAATCATATAGTATAGGGACCTCACAAGTATTTTAACTCGCAAACACAACACTTAAAAACTAGAAATAATATTGTTGGGCAAGGGTTGGTGAAGGGCCAAGTCCAGAATTAGTGGCTAAGGGGATTGTTAGGCGGAGGCTGGTGAGGGTCAAGTCCAACACCCTGTGATGCCTCTCGAAAATGTGGTGGTGGTATTAAGAAATATAAGGAAATAAACTTTCTCCTTCGCTACGAGCTATAACTTTTGCATAATAGTAAGTGCATGATCCTAGCAAGTGGTATTAGAGCCAGGTCACAGATTCAAGTCCCAGCAATAGTAAAAATTGTGCAATTAAGACTGACAAGTGCTGGGAGGGGGAATTGTTGGGTGGAGGCCGATGAAGCGCCAAGTCTAACAATTGGTGGCTAAGAGAATTGTTGGGTGGAGGCTGATACCTCTCGAAAATGTGGTGGCAATATAAGGAAATAAAGTTTCACCTTTGCTACGAGTTATAACTTTTGGCGTAGTGGTAAACGCTTGATCCTAACAAGTGGTATCAGAGTTAAGTCATGGGCTCGCGTTCCCAACAAGAGTAAAAACTATGGAGTTAGGGAGATATAAAGAAATAAGGAAATAATGTTGCTCCCAATATCAAGTCAAGAATTAAGAAAAAGCGAGTCCCAATGCAACAAGAGTAAAAGCTATGGAGTTAGGCTGATATAAAGAAATATAAGAAAATAAAGTTGTTCCCAATATCAATAATTAAGAAAAGTTAAATGAATTCAAATCCTTAGCGTCATTGTTCTTTTCCATAAGGAAGGTATCAGGTTTTAGTCCCATCCCGATAAAGGGTCGGCACAATTTGTTGAGCAGATGCTAAAGTTAAGTTAGAGCGTACTAAAAAAAAAAAAATGAACAAAGAATTCAAACCCTATTAAACTTTTTTTTTTTTTTTTTAAAAATGCAAGAGAGTGATCAACTTATGTGAGAATACATGTTGGCAAAATGCAAGTATGTGGCCAAAGTTTTACTGATGATTTAGTCTTGGTTTACTATTCACCACAACTTGGTGAGTGGCCAAGATTTGTTAGGTAGTATGTGGTTCTAATCATTTGGCCTATACTATTTAAATGAGGGTATTATTGAGTTCAAGAACAGATACAAACATTGTCTGATGTCTCTATTGTTCTATTCTCTACTTTGAGAATGATGTGTATGTTTCAATCCCTGTTTCAGGTGCATGGAGACGGGGATTGCTGTGTTAAACTTTGGTGAAGATGCCGTTGTTGTGAGCATGCACCGGCAGTGGCGAATTCACTTCTACGGCAGTGGTTATTCCACGGCAAAACATTTCCTTAATTTCACATTAGAAACCTAATTTCTCCAACAATATAAAAGTGAATTACGTGTTGATTAGAGTGAAAATGGTATATCATCACGATAAGAAGATAGGGCATGCATTCGCATTCCGGGGACGTGCATTTACACTCTAAAGCCTATCGTTGTCAGCGTCGGACCGTCGAGGTTGGTGGTTTCCACCTCCCCAAACAATTCTACGAGTTGGATGGATCATACATTCTAGAGCTAAGTATTATAAATTAATACTTTAATGTGCATGTGTATGTTTAATTATTTAAATGAGATATACATTACTAAATTTCATCTTCCAAGTTCTATTTGTTGTGTATTTTTCATGCAGAAAGCCCTGGGTATAAAATTACAGAATGGGACATACATAAGTACGATGACATTGATTAATCTTTGTTCTCACTATCTCATGTTGTCGTCTCTACCTGTGAGCATGCATTTCTATATAAATAGCATGTGTATATGACAATATTTTGTGATTTTATAAAATATAAAATTGTATTTTTATTGACGTTGTATATAGATTATATGTTTGGGCAATTACCATACCAATGTGAATAGTAGATATTCGGGCATGAAATTATGTAGTTATGGATCGGAGAAGAAATCAAATAGCTTGATCACTACGAGAATTGTGGGTGTCATATGGCTAGTGTAGTAATCAATTATTGAGATATAATCGTCAATTTATTGTGAGAGTCAGGTACGATATGTCTATTAAAGCATACATTAAATTTATTTATGATTGGTACTCAATAAAAGTGAATGTGCAAAATATGTCAAAATCTTTAATTTCTTTCAAAACAACAATGTGTTATTTATTTAAAGATATTTTATATATTGCAAGCATGAATTAAAATCATATTGATTAAAATGAATTTGAAATAAACATTGCTCAAGTATTGTACTGAATGAATATGAGATGCATATATATTATAATGCCACATGATTTTAAAGATTTGAATCACATGCTGAAATTATTTTTATAAAGAAAATAAGTATATATCAAAAGCTTAAATCTAAATATTATAATTTGTGAATAGCCTGGAAAATTCATATCATCAATCTAAATATTCGCTTACTCACTAGATCAGAGGATACCATGTGTCACTACGTATTAGTTCAAGAGTCGCTCACTAGCATTTAAGTGTCAAACATTTATACTTCTCAGAGTCTTCC